GCAGAGCATCTGTGAGCCAGAAGCTGCCAGTGTGCCTTACACCTCTGCGTTAAAACGTCCAGTAATTCACAAGGGTACAGCACAGCTGGCGGTGAAGCCAGGCCTCTGGGCTCCCATTGGCCTGAGTTCCTTAATTTCTCTGGATTGTTTGATTCTAACCTTTTTCTAGCCGCTAGGGGCCTTGGCACACTGGAGGAGCATTCTCTTAGGATAATGGGGTCACCGGGCTGGTGGGCCACCTCTAAAATACACAGTGATGAGGTTTTCACTTCTCCCCATTTTGAGTAGCATCTGAGAAACAATGTAGCTTTTATTAGGGACTTGGAAATATCCATGTTAATATTAGCCACGTTTGGGGAACACTTACATCGGGACTCATCCACTATCTGTGAGTTGCTGGAAGAGCATGGGGCAGGCTGAACCTAGAACCTTCCCAGGAAACACTTAGAGGAATCCATCCGTGTTCTATATTTAATCAGCTCAATGCAGCACTTTATTGAGTTCCTCATTGTTCTAAGTAGTGCAGTGGGGATAGAGTTTTCAGGATATTTGCAAGTTGATTCCTTCAAAGACTGCAGCATTTCACTGAAGGAACACCACAGCTAAATAGTTCTAAACAGAGCCCCCCATTTCCATGGGCAGCAATCTAGCAGATTTCTTCTACTTTTTAGCACCCACTTTGCATTTTATCCCCAGAGATATGAGGGCCTTCCCCATCTCTGTACAGAAAATCCCCTACACTGCAGGGATCTGAAATTCCTCATGCTGACCGTGTAACTTGTGTCTCACCAAAACCTCTTCTCTCTGGCCATCTCAGACATCACAGACTTCCCTACTCTAAACACGGCCAGGAACGCCCTCATCACAACCACCAAGCTCCCAAAGCTAGAGCACTCAGCAGTTACCATGGAACTCTTCCTATGCCAGAATAGATGGAGGGCCTGTTGGGAGCCTCTCTGCCTTGTTTCCACGACTTACAGTCCTTGGCCACGCCCACAGGCATCTGCAGGCACCGTATCTTTCTCAGAAACAAGAGCTTTCTGATGCTAAAAAGTTCTAGTTACTGTTCATCCTCCCCTCACCATGGATCTCTCCCCACCCAGCACACAGACACACGACACACACAATTGTATATGATTACATGTATTGTATATATAAATTATATATATTGAATTATATATGTAAATGAAAATACTACCACTCCAGTAAACGTCAGATCAAGTACGTTTGAAATTCTTGCTCTGTGACCTTAGTAGCCATCCATCTATTTCCTCCCCATACATCTCTTCCCCCAGATTGTATTTGGTACCCACTCTGATCGCGGGACAACTTATGAACAACTCTCGTGCCATTTGAGCTGCCTTTCTCTCTCGGTTCTGTCGCAGCTGGAGGCAGCGCCATCTTATAGGGTAGAAATGCCAAAGCCCTGCCTTCAGCTTCCCTTGTCACACTGGTGGTACCCCCCCCCCCCCGTGGCTTTGAGGAAGCATCCTCCTCCGGATTTTTCACCTGCTTCCTCCCTGACTCTGCCCCCTCTCCCCTGTCCTGGGCAGCCTGCTGGTGTAGAGCACTTCCTGGAGGCCTGAAGGTCACTGCCTATGCACCCTGCCATCCCGGTCTTCTCTGGGAAGCACCCACATAGGCATTGGTGACATGTGCCATGGAGTTCCCCAGAGGACCGCACAGGAACTCTGCCGTTCTTATTCAGGCAGAAAAGTGCTTATGACTGGCATGTGCTTCTGTGCCCTGTGTGCAGTGCCCTCAGGAAAACAGGGTCACTTCCCTTTGACGAGGCTCCTTCACCTTAATGGAATCCAGCCGAGTCAGGGATCATCCCAACACGTGTTCTTCTGCAGGGTGGCTTTTGTCCCGCTGTGGGTGCTTCTGGGTTAAACTCTCTACTGCAGCCCTGTGTCGTAGCTGTCGTGGCAGGAGAACTTACCACGACAAGCTGTGTTTTGTTCCAGGGTGTTTTTAGCTATGCTGCCTCACTTAAAAAAAAAAAAGATGAATAATTGCAAAATAACCAGAGATTGAGGATTTTTTTTTTTTGTAGCTTTATCATGCTCCCGAGAGAGCAAGTTTGATGTAGTCTATGGTCTGTCATTATAGCAAAACTTTTAGAGGCTAGGGGCATATAAAGAATAGAGGTTCATTTTGCTTGTACTTCTGGAGGAAGAGAAGTCAGGCATGGTGTCCACAGCTGGTAAGGGTCTTCTTGCTCCATCTCTAACCCGAGGCATCGTGTGGCTAGACAGAGCACTTGCTCTGGCCCAGGCCTGTCCTCCTCATCTTAGAGAACACATTGTAGTTAGCTTTGCATTGCTAAGTGAAATACTCAAGGCAAGGAGTTTACAGTGAAGTTTGTATTTATTTCTCACCCTGGGGGATTCCAGACAAAGGAGGAGGGTTGTTGGTGAAAGCAGTCAGTGATAATGACGGGGCATATGTGTTAGAGCAGACCATCCATCAGGTGTTGGGAAGCAGAGAGTGGGGAGACTTGAGTCCCGAAGCCCTCTCTGAGGGGTACCACCAGCCACAGAGACCTCCCATAGGTCCTCACCCTGTGAACCAAGCCTTCAATGAATGAGTCTGTTGGTATTTACCCAAACCATAGCAAAGTGGGTACAGACACTGACGAGTTTGCAGCTACCCCCAAAACACACCAAAGAATTCTGATACCCCAGAGTTCAGTGTCCTTAAACACCATTGTGTGAACAGCCACCTAGATAGGATCTGGCCTCGGAGGGAAGTTGGAAGGGCTGCTGATATGCAAAGTCTCAGATCAGAATCTTGTAGGGAAAAGTGTTTTTGAGAATTCCCCCGTTTCAGAATTTCTCAGTGTTACTCATGGGCTGAGTTCAGCCTAGGAGTACATTCTCACTTCCAGGACCTCAGAGCCCATGTTCTGGTCTGTACAACACATTCCAGGATTTGTCAGGAAGTCATTTCTGCGAAGAGCTGATGGGACAGTGTTGACCATAAGTGGGGACGGGGGACCCCTCTACTGCATGTCCCTCCCAGCTCTGCCATGTTCTAGCTGTGTGACCACAGCAAGCTCTTTGACAGAACTGTACCTCAACCATGACAGAATACAGGATGGTAATGTCATGCCCTTGTTGAGTTCATGTGAGATTAAATGGCAAGTGCCATTCAGTTACCAGAGGTCTTGTACAAGGTAAGTGTCAAAAACACTGGTGGTGGTCAGACCAAGCCTTGTGCTGTGGAACCGCTGTGTGTGGAGTAGGGTGTCACTTGCTGCGCCCCAGCCCCAATCCCAGTTAGCTCTCCTCAATTCGCTCAGGCTGGCCAGGGCCGTGATAGTTCCTGTACTTAGAGATGAGTAATCAAGCATAGAGAATTTGAGATGGCCTGCACCCTTAAATAAATATCTTAAATATCTCTGCACTCTTAAATAAAGGAGCCACGCCTCCTACCAGCCACTTATCTTTTGGTGTCTGGACCTCAAAAGTCCCAGTCAAGAGGAATTTGGTGAACAGAATCATCTGGCAGTCTGAGGACCAGGTGGGCTACTTAAACTGAGTATTTTCCATTGTAAAGTGACCTTGGATCTCCAAGAGTCCATTCAAACACAGGGCTGGATTCGCCCCAGGATCTTGGAACCAGCAGGGCTGAGGAATCCAAGAGTACACACTTCAGGCATTTGGGTCACACATTCATGCTCTATTATCATGTCCCAGCTGCTTCTCTGGGACCAAGCTGAGAACTCTTGACTGAAAATGCTGTTCAAGAATTATGTCAAAAGGGACTGGAGAGATGGATCAGTAGCTAATCGTTCTTGATGCTCTAGCGGAGGACCCAGACTTAGTTCTAAGAAAGCATCTACATTTGGTGGTTCACAACAGCCCGTTAGCTCTAGTTCCAGAGGGTCTGGCCCACAAGCCTGCATGGTGTAGATACAAGTACTCCTGCACACACACCAAATAAAAACAAGTAATTGTAAAAATTGTTTCTTAATTATGTCAGATAATCCCCACACTGCTTATTTTACTCAGGAAAACATACCTCCCTAACTCTCATGAGCCTGTAAAAACAGAGAAAAATGATAGCTTCTGATAGTCTCATAGCACTACAGTCTCTACTGGCCATTGCGTGTGGGATTCATCACTGTACTGTTAGTGTTTCAGGAGAATATATGTGCAAGTGTTGTATTTTCTTTTTTTTAAAAAAAAAAGGTGAATAATAAAACCCATGCAAGGATGCAGAGTCAGAGGCGAATTTTATCTTTGTTAACCTACCAACATCTTTCCGTTTGAAAAACTCTCACCTGTTGCACTCAAAGACAATTCCAGCCAACCTTTCAGTGGGGGAAGGAGCTGTAAGAGGAACAGCTCTGCCTTAGGGCGCAGGCTGAGGTGGGCCACTGTAAGATGAACAGAAGCCAAATGCAAAGAAAGTGGAACTTGGAAGAAGGAGTTGGAATTCAGAGCTCCAAACAGCAAAGATTTGTTCCAGATTCATTGTGCATACTTGTAAGAGGGCTTTTTCAGTCCTGAAAACCAGCTTCTTAACGAGTTGTGCTCATACTCACCAGTCCTAGGGAGGTTGACTGTGTGACCAGATAGCACGTCACTACCTACTGCCAGGTGCTCTCATTGTGAGCACACGGGATTCAACTCCAGGTCCCCCGCCACCCCGAGAAGTCCCACAAGCCCCCAGTGAGGTGTGATCTCTGTAAATAGCCTCTTCCTGCTTTAGAAGATGCTCCCTGTCCAGACATGCCTCTGTCCCACAGATACTCCCTGTCCAGACCTGCCTGTGTCCCTGCACCTTCAGTGTAACCCATAGGTGCCATCCACGCTCTCTGGAGGGCTAGCGCATGCAAAGCCCGGCTGCCTGCCCTGAGGTACGGGCTCAGAACTATTCCGAAGCTCGGATTGTCTATTTGATGACTTGCTGCTGCTGCTGCTGTGTTGCTGTCTTGTGACTTATTTTTTTTGCCATGACACTGAGTGGGCCTCCTGTGTTATCTCTTTCAGCCAGTAATGTTAAAGTAGAGACTCAGAGTGATGAAGAGAATGGGCGTGCCTGTGAAATGAATGGGGAAGAATGTGCAGAGGATTTACGAATGCTTGATGCCTCAGGAGAGAAAATGAATGGCTCCCACAGGGACCAAGGGAGCTCGGCTCTGTCAGGAGTTGGAGGCATTCGACTTCCTAACGGAAAACTAAAGTGTGATATCTGTGGGATCATTTGCATCGGGCCCAATGTGCTCATGGTTCACAAAAGAAGTCATACTGGTAAGGCCCGGCATAGTTTTCCTTTAGTATCTCAAGAGGTCCTGTGGGTGCTGAAGGCGCAAATTTTACTGTCACGCATGGGGATTGCAGCTTAGTAGGAGAGCTCCTGCCTAGCTCACGCGTGTTCCTGGGTTCAGAGTGCAAAAGGAGGGTGGGGAGGGGAATGTGGTCTGGAAGCATGTTTCCAGTTGACCAGCAAGGCAACCGTTGCACACAATTGGCTCCTAGGTTGTACTGAGGTACAGCTTCCTTATTCTAGGGCAGCCAGCATCTGAAAGGTCTGCTCAGCAAGCACCTAGTCAAGCCCATAAATGAAAGAGCAGGTTGACCGCATATGCGCGCCATCTTCTGAGGGCCCGATAAACTCACCGAAAAATCTCAGCCCCAGTGTTGACTTTAATGAAGCGTCCATCCTTCATGAGATAAGATCAAAAGCTACAGATACACCAAAACTGACTTCACACATTTTCCCATTGAGAAACTATAAATACAACACCTGTTTTGATCTTGTTGACACTCAAGGCTGAGTGTCCTAGCGAGTGGTGGCCTAGCAGCAAAACATTTTTCAGAAAGGGTGCCAGTGAGCTTGAGATGGTTGGCCCTGCAATCTCAGTCTCTGGGTCAGCTGGCTGGAGTGTCAGGAGTTTTCACCCCAGAGCCATAAGGAGCTGTCTGCTAAAGTCCTCTTGTCGTGGGAGGTTTGCAGGAGGCTTTGGGAGAGGCACATGAAGTAGTCAGCTCCAAGAGAGTAAAATGTGGACTATCCAGTGTTCAAGAGCTGTGCCTACCCCTGCTTTGGCAGTGTAGGAAGCCTCTCAGCTTCAGCTGGCTGCGCTACCCCTGTTCCACCTCTCTCGTAGAAGCAATCGTGTTTATGAACAGTCAGCTTCCTCTTCAGCATAGCTGTCATACCACCATCACTAAGGGCACTAAAGAGGCTTCGTATAAAACACTGATGGCCTTCGGTGCCTTTGTTTTGCATGCCTCAAGGTTTCTTTAGCACTAAAAAGAAACATCACTCTTCCTTCCATGGAGGTTTCTCGAAAGGTAAGCGTCCTCTGGTGGGTTCACCAGCTGTCACAGCCACAGAAAGCTTACCTGTAACATTAGACACCCTGGGCCATCGCTATCTGTGCCCCGGCTTCTTTGGGGCATGCGATTGCTGGCATCTGCTACTGCAGCATCCAGGAGGAAGAAAAGACAATGAAAATAAACAATAGCATGTTTCATAGAGTGAGGATGATGTCTTGAAAATGGCAGCCTTGTCTTTTTCTTACATGAGGCCCAACAAGGGTGTGTTATCCAAAAGTAATCAAGAGTAAGAACATACATAAAGCAGAAGGGCTCTCATCAAGGGATGGAGGTATTTCCAAGGTTGTGGTTTTATATATGAATAGAAACCATTTCCAAAACAATATATTCCATGTATAATATATGTGAAAATGATGTATAAGATGATTTTTTTTTAGTAGATGTTCTTCTTCAACCAAAGTTTAGCTTTCAAATTAGGTAAATTTGATTTTTCTGAAGGAACCCCTTAGTCCTCAAATTACCCATTGAAATAGACCTGGCACCTCCAGCCCTGAGAAAAGCAAATGTGAGGGTAATCTTGCCCTTGTCCTCTGTAGTAAGGTGGAAATTAGCAAGGAGACAAACTACTGTGACAGACACCCTGCCAGTCTAAGGCCTGTAGTAACATATTTCTGAAGAGGACAGACACTCTACCAGTCTAAGGCCTATAATAACACATTTCTGAAGAGACTCAAACCTCAAGTGAACTACTGTCCTGCTAATTCCTGTAAGACCTGACTGTGCAATGAAAGTTCCCTTAGGTAGATATTTGATAGGTGAATCGAGTTCTGGTATACTAAATTGCCAAAATGTGACTGGTTGCCTTGATTTTAAAAAAGAAGAATTACATGTGATGAATAAACCTGCCAGGCACAGATTCCAAAGGGCACCTCATGTTTGCTACGTACTTTCCCCAACAAATAGTGACTAAGTACCTCCTTATACTAGGTTTTTCCTTCCAGACAGCGGTACATATCACCCACCGTATCAGGCCTGCCAGGAAGAGATTCCCTGTCAGAGTTTGCTCATGGCTGATTCCACCGTCTATCTTCATATATGTGAACAGACAAAGCCACAGGTGGAGATTAAAAACCCTGTTTAGCCCACTGGGTTTGAGTAACTAGACATGACAGACAGGTGGAATGTGTCAGCGGAGGTCTGTGTCTACATTCCTATGTTTACAGCAGCTAGTTAGAATGCTTCCCCAGCTTAAAAGAAGCCGTGGAGTCTTGAGAAAATGCAGATTCTGATTCAGACCCCAGACGAGTTTGGAGAGCAGGCGTTCCCAAGAAGTCCCCAAGAACACTGGGCGTGAAGTCTGGAGCACGATAAGTCTCTGGGGACATACTGTTGAGGAGCAGACAAGGAGCAGAGCCATCAGTGTGGCCTCTCAGTTGTGTAGGACGTGATGCCCCAGTGGACAAGCTAGGATGTACACGAGAGTCTCCCTTCCCTCTGCCGTTGACCTCTGTGCAGTCATCGAGGCTCATGGCTTCCCTGCCCCCTCCCCTGGTAGACTCGGACCTCAGAGGCGTAGCCCCAGCTCTGCTCCTCTCACTGAGAGAAGTTCCAGGGCTGCCATTTCCTAAATGGTTTGTGGGCAGCAGTGTGTCACTTCCCCTTGGGTGCTCAGTTGGCCTCATAGTGGATTCAAGTGTCACAACCTCCGTGTCCCCACCAGCATCTCAGGGTGAGGTAGGAAAGCTGAAGGAAGTGTAGCAGGCCCCTGCCCCTCGCATTATTAGTCTGGATAGTAAAGACCAAAGAGGCCTGAGGAGATCAAAATCGCAGGCACACTGTGCTCTCCGGCCTAACAGGCGCTGCCAAGGGCATAGTACCTACACAGCTATTCTTGTATGCCATACTTCTTTTTAAATCTACCTTCTGCAGACATGCCCTCAAAAGTTCTACCAGTTTTTAAAAAACACGAAGCTATTATTTGTTACCCAAATACGTTATCCAAAAGGTCTCAAACATTTTGCAGAACACCTGTTCATGAAAAGTGTGGCGTGCCTGGGATAAAAATGAAATTTAGAATTTTGCAATATCTAATTCCTCATCCCAGTTAAATGTAAGTAGATACAGGGTTAGAGAAACTTGAATGTAGAAACAGTATCAAGCCATTGTCCTTCAGGAAACAGGCCATGGCCACTGGCAACAGAGAGAGATGGGCTGTGTCTTAAGATCCAGTTCTTTGGACACACCCCCTTATGTGTAACACCTCCGTTGAGTGGAAGTTGTGGTCCGTTTGGGGAGTGTGGTCTTTAAGACCCTCCGACCATGTACTATATATTCATGCCCATACAAGCCGTTGGAAAGCAATGGATTTGCAGTAAGCCTGCCTTACCTTGCTTTGTGGCAGGGATTAAGACACCAGGCAAGCAGTGCCCATGAAGGTGCATTGACTCAAGCAAGAAGGCGAGTCTCAGTCTCCTCAGAATGCCAGCCCTCCCTTGCTATAGGAGGGAAATGAGTCTCCTGAACATGTTTCTGCCATGGGATCTCCTGCACAGGCCTACCCTCTCTGAGTAAGAGCTGTGATATTAGGCATGGTCAAGCTCCCCAGCTGAGTCTTCTTCCTACGCTGGTCACTTTTTTTCCCATTCATCCCATTGGAGTGGAACCTTGGTGAATGCAGTGTCAGCTGAGTTGGGCACTTGGGATGGAGAGTGAGCTGCTTCAGTTACCTCTCTCCAGCTCCTTGACTTTAAACACTTTCTGTTCAGCTGAGTCTAACCCAGATGGGGATTTTGGAAAACGCTGCATACATACTGATTAGTATCAAGGCCCCTCTGCCCAGTCTACAGTTCTTTAAATGCCATTGTAAATTAATTTTAACTTTTGTGTCTGCACTGCTCACTGAAAAAGACTCAAGAGATAATTAGGAAATCCAAGCGCCAGTATAGGCTTTAAGGTCTAACCTGGCCTGGGTTTCAGCAGCTCCACCTGAGCTCTTCCTCAGTCACCATGACAAACAGTCTCTTCTCCTGCATTAGCCAGTTGGGAAAATGTTAATTAGGTATTTTTAACACATTGTTTATTCATAAGAGAAATGTGTCTTGGGACATATATTTCCATACATAATGGTCTTTTAGATGTAGATTCTTTTCTTCCAAAGAAGCTTTTATGAGGAATATGACAAGCTCATCACTCCGAGAGTTATCGCCTGAGTTAGTGCTAAGACCCATGACTACCCAGCAGGACAGTCCACACTCCCTGTTCATAAGTAGAATTCCTACACCTTCTTCAGACCCGGGGTGTAAGCTGCAGCTCTTAACACTGCGGGGACGCTAGGCTATCTCAGTCACAAACCGAGGAGCCCTTTTTGGAAGACTCCTTCAATGGCAGCGACATCTCTACCTGAGCTGCAGCTTGTCCAGTGTGGACAGAAACACGAATGTGAGGATGTCCGAGTTGTGAAGGAAGGAATGGGCAGGAAGTCTCAGGGTCATGCACTGTGCAGGAGCCTGGGGATTCCCTCTGGAGGACAGGCCGTAGCTGCCCTGTCTCTTAAGTTCCCATTGTGTTCAATCTCTCTCCAATCTCCCTGTCACCCTCGCACTCTCTCTGGCTGTCTCTCTCCTGATTTGCCTGCTTAGGGACAGACAGGTAATGGAGAAGAAATTGAAAGGGAAAATACAGGGAAAATGTAAATGAAAAGAAGTTATTATAACTGTTATAATGAAGTGCCTTTCATTTAAATATAAGAATGTAACGCTGAAATGAACTTGTGATCCTGAAATGCATTTTTAATGAGTTTCCTTTTTATTTTGCTGCTTCAGTGGCATATTTTAAAGACCCTTTGAAAAAAGCCACATTAAAAACCCCACCAAATGCCACAACACGCAAAATTGGATATTGGTTTATTCCAAAACTGCTGATCAGGAAGAGTGACTCCTCATCACAAAATGTTGCAGTCACTTTATTTAAATGAGTTTGAATTTGCATTGTGATGTGCCATTCTGATTTAGGGGGAAAAAATTAGATTTTCAGATCAAATTGACCCAGCCAGTGAAGCGTTAAGTAGCTGGCAGGTTTAGTCTAAAAGCCCCGTGTTCTATCAAACCTGCAGCCGGTGGAAGTCACCAAGCCCGCGGGAAACAACTTTCTCGCGGCCGTCCTTCTCACCAGACTACCCTCTTCCCTTCTCGCCCAGGTGAGCGGCCCTTCCAGTGTAACCAGTGCGGGGCCTCCTTCACCCAGAAGGGCAACCTGCTGCGCCACATCAAGCTGCACTCGGGCGAGAAGCCTTTCAAGTGCCACCTCTGCAACTATGCCTGTCGCCGCAGGGATGCCCTCACCGGCCACCTGAGGACACACTCTGGTAGGTCTCCTTGGCATGGCTGGGATGCCAGGCCTTGGCCATCTCAGTAAAGGGATCATGTGATCCATGTTCCTAGTCACTACGTCACTACCCTTCCGCTCCACCCAAGTTCCCAGTCAATACCCTTCCTCTCCACCCAGTCCACAGCCCTCTGGGGGTCTTGGCCTCCTACATGGTGACCTGCTATCCCTACTGAACCAGGGGACGTGGGTGGGCGTGAACACAGGAGGGAGCCCCACATCCTTGGTGCGTTCCCAAAAAGCCTTCTCCCTCCCACCGTCTCGGGGTAAGTGGGATTTGCCTGAAGTGCTCCGCTCTTGCCCTTAACCTTCCAAACACATCTCTTTAGGCTCGCTCATTGCTATGCCACGCCCACTGCTGGCCTGTGGAGAATATGTTGAATAGCAGTAATAGACATACTTTTCCCGGCAGAGAGGACACAGACAGGTTGGTCAGACTACACCAGTCCAAGGCACACTGTCCCAGCCAGAGAGTAGCTCCCGTGCCAGGAACCAGCAGAGGCTTTAATGGGACTGGCCCATCTGTGGAGCTGTCAGCAAACTGTCAAAATTTTCAGCAGACAGCAAAATTTCCCTGTCAGGATGTCCCAGATACGCTGGAGTCTTGGCACGCAGTCTACATAAATGCTGGACAATTGTCCAAATGTTCTCAAACTGTCACATAGACTCATTTTTAATTAGATCTCATAGTCTGTCTCTTGGGTGGCTTCTTACCCAGTAGCCCCACAAGCTCTAGGTTGAAGAGAAAGGGATTTTGTCCGACAATTGTGTTAGGTTTGCTTGCAACACAGTCAACATGGTATAGCTCCCATTCTGCCCTGTCGTGTGGCGTCATGTGCTACACTGTCTTAAGGAGCACTAGGTTGATGAGCTTTGTCCCTGCCCTCGGAGAGTGCCCCGTCTCAGCCAGCCATCACTCTGTCATTGTTCAGTGGCTTCTCTGAGCAGCAGCCGCACCCTTGAGACAGGGGCTATGCAGGAGGGAGGCCCTCAGTCCACCTACTGCCCACTGCTACCCTCTTCCCAAACGGGAAAGATGCCTTTCACAGGGTAAGTTACCCATCTCTTTGCCCGCCTTTTCTAAGTCCCTTAACAGCATCCTATGTGTGTGTGGCATGGAAGAGCCTGAGGGCTCCACAGAAGCAGGAAGAAAAGTCAGTCTGTCCCAATAGGAGAATCAGGAGAGATTCCCACAGCAGAAGGACTCGATGACATGTTCAGCCCAAACTGAGTTTGCTCTAGGGGAACCCTAAACAAGTCAGAGTGGGCCATTACTATGGTGCACATTTTAACAGGTGTCGGCCAGAGCTGTTTTTTCTAGTTAGTGGTCCCCTCCAGACGGGCATTCCTAGACGGCTGCAGAGAAGGAAAAGAGCTGAGTCCAAGAGCCATCTCCCCTCTGGTCTGCTTTCCTCTCTGGCTGCCAGTGAACATGCAGGAGACTTACAAAGCTTACAGCAGAACGCCGTGACTTTGCGGTGAGCTTCTTGGCACCGCTGAGAAAGGTGCCGCCTTCCTCTGAGGAGCTGTTCTCTCAGAGGCGAAGACAGGGGACCAGCACTTCACTGTCCTAGGTAGGACACTAGCTCAGAGCTGACCCGGGTTTTCTGCAAGGAATGAGAAGAAATGAAGGCTTCCTGAAATGGGGGTAACACTGTCTACATGTATTAGTGATGAGTATGTGTGCTCCACCAAGTTTGGGGGTGCCAGGGACGGAGTGACATACAGTCCTGTATAGGCTCAGGTGTGAGACTCGTACAGTCCACGCCATGCTAGCTGGTGCCTAAGAAAGCAGCTGCCCATCTGTCATGTATGAGAAGACACGTAAACCCACTCGGCAGACACCATGCTCTCAGGTTGGCAGCTAGCACAGCTTCTCAAGCCAGTGGGAAAGGCAAAGACCTACTACTTTTAGGCTGACCTCAGCCACAGCATTGTCGCTCTTTAATTCCTGGTTTGCAGTATAACTCTTTCCTGCATATCCTTAAACCGTGAGATGGCGAGATGAAGTCCTGTGAAATTGGTGCAGGGTTTATGTTTTGCCTACATGCTTGCTCATTGCATTTGAGGCATGATGGACTCCTCCTCTCTGTGGGGCTAATGATAGATAGTCAAAAAGGTGGTGGATTCCCCCCAAGTTATCTCTGTCACGGGGTCACCAATGAACTGGTAGAGACACCTGTCATAGACCTGGGGTGTCCATGACTCTGTTGATGAAAATGCCCTTGACGCACACAGCTCTGGGAGAAAAGAAGCACTGTGTTTGCTTCTTCAAAGCGATTTTACCACAATGACAAGCCTTAAAGGCTCCCAAAGCACATGTTTTCCCTGTGTGAGTGACCATGCCCATAGTCCATTAACACGTGGGATTGACCATATAGCTTTCCCTAGCATCTGGAGGTGACCTGAGGTTCTAGACTCAGTATAGTAAAAGACTTTGATATATACTTTTTTGGAAACTCCAAGCTTTGTTAGAGACAGTTTGTTTCTTGTGTTCTTACATTAAAATCAATCATACGCTGAGAAAAATCAGATACTATACCACTTATACAGGGGGGGGGCAATTTTGATTCAGTAAATCATTAAAGTTATAAATTTTTCAGGAAAGGACATGGAGTAGGTATTTATATTGCACTAATTTCTATGAAAACAGAATATAAATATGTAATTTTAGGCAGCATGAATTCCATCCTTCATTACTATTTCCAAGTGTTTGGGGTGCCTCATGATCTCTAGACAAAAGGGGCTGGAGAGATAGCTCAGCAACTAATAGCCCTGGTTGCTCTTCCCGAGGAGCCGGGTTTCATTCCCAGCACCAACATGTCAGCTCGTAACCATGAGACTCCAGTTGCAGGGCATCTAGCCCCCGATTGTGCCCTTTGAAGTTAGGCGCCAGCCTTGCACACCCTTGGTGCACAGTGATGCATGCAGGGAAAACACCTGTACGCTTCAAATCTGCTTTGGATTCTGCAGCTGAAGCTTTGGTTTCCATGAGAAATTCTTCTTCAGAGCATCTGATCACCTAGGAAAGAGAGCTGATTGACCGTAAGCTTTCCTATAGGCTTGACTTTGTACCATACTCTGAAAGATACGAAATCCAGCAGCATGAGAAATGCTATATTGGCATGAGGGGGTAAAAACATCTATATTCTTCATAAAGTAACTGGAGAATGTTTTCTCTAAAAACTGATTGGCATCATATGGGCCCTTGGCGAGTCTCCTAAAATTCCACTCAGAAAACCCAGGAAAGGCTAAACTCACATTGAACAACATTGCTCTGCATAGAAGCCACTCTCCATATGTGGCACTTAAATTTTGGCAACTTAAAATGAAGCAAAATTAAAATGTTGGTTCTCTGTGTCACGAGCCAAACTTGGACTGTCCAGTAGTCCCACGTAACTGGTGGCTGCCGTATTGAACAGCACAGTGAATGCCACGCTGAACGGACATGCACAGAACACTTAGAGCATCGTAGTGAGTTCTAGTGGACAGGGCTGTCTGGAAGTTCTATCATCCTAGTGTTCGTGGGGATAAAACAGGGTTTCCATAGGCTCTCCCATGCAAAATACACTGTATAGTCTACATGTATATGAAAATGAAGTTTGGTTTATCCATATCAGTTGTTTTGTTTTTTAGTTTTTCGAGACAGGGTTTCTCTGTAGCTTTGGAGCCTGTCCTGGAACTAGCTCTTGTAGACCAGGCTGGCCTCAAACTTATGGAGTTCCGCCTGCCTCTGTCTCCCAAGTGCTGGGATTAAAGGTGTGTGCCACCACCACCCGTCATATTGTATATTCTTAAGCAAGACAGTATGCACTACAAATGTCAAGTACATTTGAGTTATATAGAAAGATACAGTTTGGAAATACGCATTTCATTCAAGCCTTTTGCTATCATGGCTTCTTAGAGACTCTGAGTGACGTCATTTGTTGTCCCAGGGAGGGGTCAGACCTGGTAGGAGGTCCACCCTGAAGGTGGTATCTGTAGTCTCCTCATGTTTCTGTCCACACTGCGGTGCACTTTTTCCCATTAAAGGACATACCTTAGTGATTCAGAAAGGAGTGTGGTAGTCAGTGTGATAAGTTGAGATGAAACAAGAGTCACGGACTCTTAGTACAATCAGTGAGTTGCCTGGGCATGAGCGTTTTTTTTTTTAAATTCACTCATTTTGACCCAATCCACAATAGTCACAGCTCTCAAAGAGTATATTTTTTTTACCTTTTTTTGTTATAATTGTATTGCATGCATTCCCATTACCCAGAAGGCCAATATTTAATTGGAGTCTTAAACTCAATTGTGTTTTCTGCAGTTGGTAAGCCTCACAAATGTGGATATTGTGGCCGAAGCTATAAACAGCGAAGCTCTTTAGAGGAACATAAAGAGCGCTGCCACAACTACTTGGAAAGCATGGGCCTTCCAGGCACGATGTACCCAGGTAAGCGCTGAGGCTCCCTGCTGAGCTGGGCCCCTCCCCCTCCCGGCACCTGGGTCAGGAGGGGGCTCTGTGGCATGTTTCTGGCCATCCTGTCCAGGAGGAACTTTTTGTCTAATAGTACTGAAGCTACACTAGGGACAACTCATTGTGTTCCTCTGTTTTCCAAGTTCTCACCTGACCAGACATAGCCTGTCTTAAGACCTCCCTTCCCAGAAGTGACTTTAATAAGATTCTGTGTTGTGGGGTGTTTTTGGTTTGGGGGATTTTTTTGTGTGGGGGGGTGATTTTTAAACCAAGAGGAATTGGCAGGAGCAAAGAGATAAGTGGTGGAGAGGTTCCCTGATATGCAGGAGGCTCTGGGTTTGATCCCCAGCACCACACAAACACACACACAAACACACACACAAATACACACACACACACACACACACACAGGAAAGTAAAAACAAGCTAGAGTAGTGTGGTGATTGCTTCTTTGTGTTTAAAAGTCCAAATAAGATGGCTCAGAGGTTGAGAGCACTAGATGCTCTTCCAGCGGTCCTGAGTTCAATTCCCAGCACCCACAAGGTGGCTCACAACCACCTATAGTGGGATCTGATGCCCTCTTCTGGCATAAAGACATACATGCAAATAGAGCACTCATAAACACTAAATAAATAAATAAATAAGTCTTTAAAAATGCGAGGTTTTTTCTTTTCTTTTCTTTTTTTTTTTTAACTAGCTATTCATTAAGTTCACCGGGCTGGGATTTAGACTGAGCTTTGGGTGTTCATACCTGAGAAGATGGGGGAGGGCTTGTTGGAAGATCTAGAAGTCATCAGTGCTGAGGCTGTGGAGAGAGTGCTGGGATGTTCACTAAACATTACCTTGTCAAGAGACTCAGTCTCACCCTGAACATCTAGTGTGTCCTCACTGTTGGCCAGGTGACCCAGAACACTGCCGCGTGAGACTCAGTCTCTCTCTGAGCATCTAGTGTACTCTAACTTCTGGCCAGGTGTTTCGGAACACTGCAGTGATGGCTTCATGCTCCAGTTCTTTCTCAAGAAGTGAGAAATTACTCCAGCAAGAAGCAGCAGTCTGCCCTCAGCACAGCCACAGAGGCAGGCACCAGCATTTAATTCCACTGGGTTCTTCCTGCCTCTGCCGCTTGTCACACTAAGATACGCCAGAGGACCCTACCACCACCACCACCACCCCACCCCCCAGGGCCAGTCAGCTTTCCATCACTGCAATGCAGTTCACCCTAAAATGTTGAGGACTTCAGTCCTTGGTTGGTCAGCCACATTGCTTTGGGCATGCCATGCAGGAAACATGGGTACACTGAAATCCCCTGCTTTGGGGGAGGGTCTGGGGAGGGAGTCTCACAAATCAGGGAGAAAGAGAGAAAGAAAAGGCTAGGCACCTTGTTCCTCTTTGAGAACATACCCCAGTGACTTAAGGACCTCCCCCAAGACTCCACCCTCAAGGGTTCCAGCACCTCTTACATGGGTCACCCTAGAGCCCAGGACTCCAACATGTGAGCTAAGCGGAGACTGCCAAAGCCATGTTTATTTCCCTCCAGCACCCAACACCTCCCTTGTAGACACGCAGTGAGTGCTGGGTTAAGAAACTTGGCATTGAACTTTAGTGTAATCAACTTTAGTGTAAGTCCTGCCAGTAAACCTGTACATTCTTGTTTCTCTCTCTCTCTCTCTCTCTCTCTCTCTCTCTCTCTCTCTCTCTCTCTCTCTCTCCTGACCCTCCATGTCCCTCAGGTCACCTCATTAACTCCCCAGACCTATTTACATTGAGTCCATTAAGTAAAAACTGCCTGACTCCGGAGATGGTAGAAAAGGTTTCCTTTAGCAAAATGGTTGAAGTCACCTGTTCCACTTTGTTAATATCTTCATCGGAAAAAGAACCTTCTCCTGGGCCTCACATGCACAAAAGACATAGAAAAAGTGTTGGGTTTCAGAGGTGTGGTATGGTCTCACCTGAGGGATAGGGAACCTGGGCTGGTGGCTAAGCCCGGTACACAGAGAAGGACATGCAAATGAGCGTATTGGTTTGATGGAGCACATGTATGAATGACTTCTAGAATTGGGTTTTATGACTTTCTTTAGTTCCTCCGGTTAATCAGCGCGTGGGCTGAATGTTGAACTATTTAACAAGACACACTTATAATCCACTGTGAAAAGCAATATGCAGCAGTAGTCTTGGACTAGAAATGCAGGTTTTAAAGTGGCATTCACAATAGCAGTAAAGATATAAAATACATAAGGATCCTGTCGTCATGCAGAGTATAGAGTAAGGGTCAGAAAGCTACGTGGTCATCCCAGGCAAGGAAGAAATGTATATGGTGGAAGAAGGAAACAAGGTTGGTCCATCAGCAAACACCCTCCCAAATCTAGGCATGGTTTTCACACAAAATTGTCTTATGCATCTTGTTAACATTTGGTTGTAGCATGATTAATAAAAACCCAGAGACAGATATTGGGGTTCAACCTGAAAGTCAGAAAAGCAAAACAGCCAGCCCCTGGCTCTTACCTCTACCTCAGTCCGAAATGGCGATCCTGCCTCCAGCAATCTCAAAATGAGACTGTGTCTGAGACTTGTCTTCTTCCATTTTATATTCCTCTCTAGGGCTGGGATTAAAGGTGCGTGCACCACTGCCTTGTCTGTAAGGCTGATCAGTGGGGCTGTTTTATTCTCTGATCTTCAGGCAAGCTCTATTTATTAAAGTACAAATGAAATATCACTACATTTGGTAGTCTAACTTATTATAAAAATCTATCTGAAAAAAATGAGAAGATTGGCAAGACTAGAGTTACATAAAGATATAGCCATGTTCTTTGAAGAACATGGACATAAACCAGCACAGAACTGGATAAAGCTATGGTCAATCAACATGATATGTCTGAGAAGGAAAATGCACAAGACAGAAACAGTGTTGGAAGAGCTGATTCAAAAGTGAAAGCTGATCACTTTACATTTTCAGCTCCTTAAACAACAGGAAAACATTTAAGGACGTTTCAGGGGAATGAATGAATTATATTTTAGAAATCCCTGCCATGCAAACCAGAAGTTAGCTAGGTGAGACTGTGCAGGAGACAGGCTTGGATCTTCACTTACCAATAGGGAGAGTTAGTAAAGAAAAGGAGCTGGGGGGCTGGAGAGATGACTCAGAAGTTTAGAGCACTGGCTGCTCTTCCAGAGGTGCAGAGTTCAATTCCCAGCAACCACATGGTGGCTCACAACCATCTGTAATGAGATCTTGCGCCCTCTTCTGGCATGAAAGTATACATGCAGGCAGTACACTGTGTACATAATAAATAGGTGGGAAAACCTTTTTTTTTTTTAAAAAAGGAAAGAAAAAGAAAAGGAGATAGATGGAACTAGCTCATATTTCCACATTTTCCTTCATGACTGCTAGGCTTCCTACCCTGTGTAACTGCTGTGTGATGATTAGGAATTTGCTGTGTGGTCAGGGACTCTTCCCTATACAGTGTGACTTCAGATCCTTTGATCATTTCTGGACCTGATGATATTTGCTTCTAATGGTTGTTGTGAGAGTTGGTTAAGGTAATCTTGACAATGGGCCCTCCAAAGTAACATAGTTAATTCTCTGTGGTTCCGTCTTGGATCGTGGGGTTGAACAGGCAGAGGAAGGGGTATTAGCAGGTGGCTGGTTGCAGGTGGCTAGTGGCTGGACCTACCAGGGGACTGGAAGATGAGACGTAGGCTCTTGTTGACATTTTCAGAATGTAACATTGGCACAGGATATGGCAGCATCTTGAAGTGCAAGCGTGTCTAAACCAGCCTTTCTAACTGTCTTTGGCTTTAGTCATTAAGGAGGAAACTAACCACAGTGAGATGGCCGAAGACCTGTGCAAGATAGGAGCAGAGAGGTCCCTTGTTCTGGACAGACTGGCAAGCAACGTCGCCAAACGTAAGAGCTCTATGCCTCAGAAATTTCTTGGTAAGAGTTAAATGTTTGCTGTCTCTTAACATACAACTATGTGCGTGTTCTAGACTCAAATGAAAATTATTTGAAAGTAGAAGAAAAGAAAAAATCTCACTTTTTGGAAAAGAAAGTGATAAAGTTAGTATTTCCTAAATATTGAAGTTTTTTCTAATAATTTTCTTGAAATTGAAAGACCTCTCACCAGGAATTAGAGCCCTTGGTATGATGTTTCTACGGCCACTAATATAGCAGTTAGATCAGTCCTCATGGAGCTTCAATTCAGGTTTTCCCAGGAGGCTATGTAACACTGCCATCAAAGGACAGCGGGGGTTAATAGGAACTGAACAGAGAATGGCCCCTCAGAAGTTCTAGTGAAGGGGTATTGCAGCTAGAATTGCTAGAGCCTGACATCCCCTCTCCCAGCAAAGTTTGTCCTCAGGTTTAGGGACATCATTTAGGGGTTAATTATAATTAGTATACGGTTGAGGGTCAGGTTCTCAGGCAACACTTTTCCTCTTCCAAATCTAAATAGGACTCCAATTTTATCTATTGGTTAGAGGTTTCTCATGGCATAGGGGTTGGGAGGAAGAAGGGGAAGAAAGACCTTCAAGACAAAACAGAAACCACTTATTGCAAATATTATTTATGGACTTGACTGTGCAAGTGGGAGCTTCTGGACCAAAAGAAAGGAGGAGACCCCATTTCCTGATCAGAGAAGGGGGGAATCTTGGTCAAGTAGTCAGTTACTGTATGGCTAAGACTTTAGGCAGTCTCAGGTGCAGGGTCCCTGTCTTCCCCCTGTGGAGTGCACCAAGAACTGGACTCGTGGAGAGAGTCTGACAGACTGCTCAGACAGACTGGCAGAGAGGATCAGCAAGTGTGTTCAGGGGTTGTGAAGAGCTCCTGACCTCAGGAGGCAGGGTGTAGACTTCCTCTTTTTGATTAGGAACCTGAAGAATGCCCCGTGTTTTAGTAATGACCGTATACGGTGCCCTAAAGTTTTGGGAGATGTCCAGCCAAATGGAGCATCAGCAATCTGACCATGACTGTCCCGGGTGAATGGGCATTGTCTTGATTCACACGCTTCTGGGTGAGAGGGAGCAGCAAAACTGGTGAAGCAAGGCTGAGATGAGACAGCTCTCTCCAGGGGAGAGGTTAAACACAGGAGGAAGTGGCATTGTGGGAACAGAAGGACCAGGATAGCAGAAGTGGAGTGTGCAAGGAAGAGCTCCCAGCAGCTGTGCTCAGTTGGTGTTCCCCAGAGGTGATTGGCAGTTCATGCCCTACCCAGTGCCTCTTTCTGCTCACACATGCCTGCCTCCCTCTCGCTGCTGTGTGATGGCTTCCACTGTCTCAGTTTCTCCATCTCTAAAACAGAAACAGGTGGCCCTCGGAGGCTCCTCTCCACATTTGGGATAATATATTATTATGTTACTAAGATGATAGATGGCTAAGAAGAATTTTGATAGAAATATTTGATGGTTTTCAGTGAACCAAATCAAACATCCAGGCATTCCCATAACTAAATTAAATGAGCATCATTGTAAATATCTTTCTGCCATATATTTTTCAGCAGGTAGGATGAATTACAATATAGAGGTGGATTACAATATAGAGGTGGGAAGTAAATGTCTTTTGAAGTTTCCAAAGATGCCCCCTCAGAAAGATTCCAACTTTTCTAGCTTTTCCTGGGGGGTAGGATGTATCGGTTTGTTGTGTTTACCTCTTCCCGTGCCTTGCTAGAAAGTATGTTCAAGTGGCCACAATATATTAAACATGTCTTAAACGTTAAGAGGGTGGCCAGTCCTCAAATAACTATTTACTTCCAGAGGGGATTCTGCTTTCTAAAAAGAATTACCCTTAGAATAAAAGTATTTTCTCATGAGTCATTTTTATTGACTTTGGTTTTGCACTGTGCATCTCTACAATATTCATATTCTACTTGGTAATCATTATTCTTAATATAGTGTAGGTAGTCACCCCTCTACATTTTAACAGGTTGAAGAGTCAGACCCAGGCGTCTTAGCATCCTCTCTGTGTATTTTGATTAATCCCTTCATTGAGTAGACTTTGTGTTCAAACATCCTTGTGTTGACATCCCATCCCCACCATTGCTTTGAATTTGAGGATGTCCACCCGTCACCTTTGTGCCAGAGGAGCATCCTCAGGAGGGTGTTCCCTTGGACCACTCCTCCTTCCCCGAAGGTTATAGATCATGCCTCGTTGCCTATAGCATTGTTTGTGGGGTGGTGCTAGGATGCTGGATCCAGCCTGGTCTTTTCTTTTAATGTGCTTTTTAGCCCAGAAGTCAGCAGCATTCTAGTGTTCTACAGGCTGGATGAACCCTTGCCTTTTCACCTGGGAATTTCCTTTCTTTTTCTTTCCTGCCTTGTGGAAACATTCCCTTGCATAAATACCCTTTGTTTTGCCTAGTGTGCTCTCTACTCCACAGTGCTGGCTTTTCATAAGTTGGAAAATTTGTCTCCCATGTCTGTTAGCATTTTGTTATTTTTAAGTTTATTCACTATTATTTCATATTTCCCTGCGCTGTCAGAAATTCAGTTCCTCATCATTTTTTTCTAATGCTTGCTATTTCTAATGCATGTATTAAGTGTTTATTGCATTGGATCTCATTTTGTTTCCTGAGATCCGAACTCTTCCCATATCCTGTTGGGTTTTTTTTTTTTTTGGTATTGACTTTGAATATTTTCTGAATTTGACTGCTCGCATATTCCAAAAATTAAAATAGCTAAAACTTAAAAAAAAAATTCACTCCATGTCCTGAAGTAATTATGCCGCATTTCTTCTCTTCCTGGAGTTAAGTTTCTTTTTCCCCTAGGATGGACTTACTGGTTTGTCTTAATTCCTTTCTCGCCAAAAAATATTTTCACTGTAACCATGACATTTCTTCTTATCCTGCTCATTCTGTTTGGTCTGATGGGGCTTGATTGACATTTCAGTGTTCTTCCCATTGTATCTGAGACTTTTTCCTATGAGAACTATGACTTTTTTAAATCCTGAAAGAATGCCAAGGATGGTGTTGGGGGAGTTCAGGTGAGGCAAAGTGCTGCTTTTGTTTTAAAACGTTCCCCTTTGAGAGCTCTCTCTCATTCCTCACATTTGGTTAAAGCTCTAAACCAGCAGATGGTGCCTCCTGTCTCCACAGGGGACATCTCAGGGCTTCCCTGACCCTGAAGTGCAGCGCCTCAAGGCCTTTGCTTCCATGCAGGGGAGCCAGCCTGCATGCTAAGGTCGCTGATGCAATGTTCTTCCTGCCGGCGGAGCTTTCAGCTCCGTGATCAGAAAAGGGGGAAAAAGCTGTTTTTCTGTCAGCGTGAGGGTGTGGGGGGTTCTGGAAATGTGATTGATCCCACCTGTTTCTTGAAGTGATATTACCCAAAGCTTTGTCTTGTGTCTCATTCAAGGACTGGTCTTTCCTTGGCCGTAGATAGATGAATATAAAGTAAGGATAAGTAGAAGGAAGATGATAGATAGATAGATAGATAGATAGATAGATAGATAGATAGATAGATAGATAGATAGATAGATAGATAGACTGAGAAGAGGTTTCACTGAGGCACTGAGGACTTTTGTAGCTTTTAATTTTCACATATGGGTAGAGAAATTCTATGGGTAAATTTATCACTTCATGCTCATCCACAATGTATGTTGCTTTCTTTGCAACACCCACTTGTTGTTGAAACTAAGTTCTTGAAACAGCAGGCTTCAATGGTTGCTTAGAAAACCACAGAACCACGACTCTGGGGAGAAACAGGAAAGCACCACCTTTGGTGAGAGAACACACACTTCGCCGGCGAGCAGAACTGGGCACCAGGCCCACACCCTCCTCCATCGCTAGGCTTTGGCAGCCAGTGAGACAAGGGCGGCAAGAATGAGTTCCTTCTGTCTGTGTAACTAGATAGGTCAGCACCTTGATTTTAAAAACAAAATTTACAGGAAAAGCAATCTTTGGTTTTAGGAATGCTATGTAATTTAAGAATACTACCCAATTACTTCCCCCGTAATGGAGAGAGAAAACCATTCATTGTCTCTACACAGGAATTTTTGTCCTGTCCAGTCTCTAAGAAGATGTAACTGGACGTATACAAGTTTGCTTTCTATAATCTGAGGCTCATTCTGTGCTCTTATCAGGGTACGTGTTGCTTCTGACACAGGTAGATGGAAGCAAATGAAAACAAGTAGTCATGTGATACACATGTAAGACACAAAGAAACGCAATGTAAAGAAAGATCCTGAGCCATGGGGAGGATATTCCTTGGCTACTATTTTTTATTAATTAAATTTATTCATTTATTTTACATCCCAGCTGAAGTTTCCCCTCCCTCTTCCCCTATTCCCTTCCCCCCACCACCTCCTCCCTGCTCCTACCCATCTACTCCTCCTCGGTTTCTGTTCAGAAAGGAGTAGGCCTCCCATGGGTGTCAACAAAGCATGGCATATCAAGTTGGGGTGGGACTAAGCTCCTCCCTTTATATTGTGGCTGGCTACGGAAACCCAGTGTGAGGAATGGGTTCTCAAAAACCTGCCAAGCATCAGGGACGGGCATTCCTACTGCTAGGATTCTCACAGGTAGACAATCCCAACCTGCTATTTAATGATCACTGATTTTTTTTTCAAGGATTGTGGGTAGATTAATGAATTGTGGAATAGTTTGTTCTACTGTAAATAAAGAGTTGGGGCGGGGTGACGACCTCAATGTCGGTGTGAAAAACACTGGGATCATCTTCTGCCACCACCTTCATCGGCTGCTGTCAGGTCCAGCCTGACTTCATCTTTGTGCCTCTTCGGTCTGTCTTCTCTCTGTGCCTGAGCAGATCACTGTCTTCAGACCCTTCAGAAGTTCTCCTTTTTATTTAAAGAAACTTAGCTTAGTCTAAGGTTCCAGGATGTGATCCTGGCTTCGACTTGGACACTTCCTATGCTCCTAGAGCTCTGGCCCCTGGACCTTAGCATTGTCCCACCAAAGCTCCAGGCCCTTCTGTCTTCAGCACCTCCACTGCTGCTGGCCCCAGCCATGGGACACAGAAGCCCACACACACATCTGCCTCATCTGAGATGAGATGCTTGTGTGACACCAGCAGCAAACCTTCCTGTGCTCATGGGATTTCTCAGGTGGGGATGGAGTCTGACATCACTACTGTGCCTGTCTCGTGCTAGCTGTGTGTGTCCAAGGACAGGGACTGTCACGCTGGCTTTCCTTTTAGTTAAGACAGATGCACTGAAGATGAAAGAGGCGGAGTGTGAGGGGAAATGTAAACAGGGCATCTGGTTCTGTGGGTTGCCTCATTTACCATGGCTGAGAAGGCACACACATGGCTAATCCTGCCTATAGGAATATAAACAATTGCTTTAATGAATGTCTTTGCTGTCAGGGTCGTGATTTCATGTTAAACTTAACATTTAGAAAAAACTTTTTTTTCTTTTTTTTGGTTTTTTGAGACAGGGTTTCTCTGTGTAGTCCTCGCTACTCTGGAACTCACCCTATAGACTAAGCTGGCCTCAAACTCACAGAGATCAGCCTGCCTCTTCCTCCCAAGTGCTGGGATTAAAGGTGTGCACCACCACCACCCAGCCTGCCTCTGTCTCTTGCATCCCAGAATTAAAGGCTTATGCCACCACAGCCTAGATATAAGATAAATCTTTAAAGAAATTCATTTTATTTCATTATCAAAACATTTGCTCCAAAACTAATTACCTGAAACCAAATCTAGTCTTATTTCCCACTGGGTCTAGGGAAGGAGGTTTGCGTTAGCTCAGTTTCCCTCACTACAGGAGAACATCTGAGATGTTCAACTTATAAAAAGGAGTTTGATTTGCAGCTTTGGAGGGTTCCTCCCCAAGACTGGACCTGTTGTGCTGGGGCTGTGGCAAGGAAACATAAGTAGATCATAGAGCAGAAATATTTGCATGTGGCTATGAAGCAAGAGAGGAATATATGGAGGTCAGGGTCCAGTATCCCCTTTGAGAATATAGTCTCCAAAATATAAGTCTTCCCTAAAGAGTCCAGAACCTCCCAACAGCATATCTACAAATTGGCTCAGACACATTCATACATCTGGTTTATGAACCACAGGTTGGACAGTACTTCAAAACATGGGCCTTTGAGGGCATCTGAGGTCCAGAGTGTAGCAGAGTTCATATAGTTCCCCCCAGACAATGGCTCTATTGCTGCCACTAAAGGTAGCTTTAACTAAATCTCTATCGTTCTAATAAAATTCGAGATTCAAAGGCTACGGTGAAGACCTGCAAGCTCAGAGAGTTAGAATAGAAACTGACTAGCTTTCTCTCTTTGCTGGTGTCCCTGGAACCTCTCTCCTTCCACACTTCCCCAACTAAAATACTCACACTATACTCCTCCGTGCTACTTTCTGTCCACTAGTTGCTAACACTGCTCCTCTGAGTCCAGCTTAATTTTATTTAACTAACACAAATGAAACACATCTTTACATAGTTAAACAAATGAAGCAAAAATAAAGTAACACATCTTTGCCTAGTTAAACAAATATTCTACAACATTTCCCCCTTTTGTCTAAATAAAAGGAAAGATTTTAACTTTAACATAGAAAAACTATAAACAATAAGAACAGTTATTAAGTCGAAATTACATTTACAAAATCCAGTCCTTTTGTATTTGGCATATTCAAAGAAATCTTCTATTATCTATCCTATCTTGATGAGTCAAAAGCTCTATACCTAATTTACCTTCTATCTTAACTAAGGGAAACAACTATAACTATCTAGTCTTCAACTTAATAGGATATGCTATTACCTGAGTAAACAGGAAGTGCAGCGCAAGCAAATTCTAAAAATATAAAAACAACAGAGATATGTGGCTGTCTGGGCAGTCACCCAAGGTTCCTCTGCAACATTTGGGCATCCATCTTCAGCCTAGAATGTCTGGTAGACTTTTCCATAAGACAGTTTTAAAGGCCTGTCCTGCTTTGTCTTGACAACGTGCTGCAGTCACTTTCCTTTGTAACCTGCATGTCCAGTTTAAACATTAAAACGTTAAACTGTTGAGGGAAGGACAGTTTCTTGCCCAAATGTCTAGCTTTGCCACAATAAAAACCAACTCGATATGGAGGTTCTTCAATGCCCATTGTCTTTTTATGAAATAGATTGGTGCTGCACAGAGAAGATATGTCTCACTGTCATGAAAAGCCTTAGGTTCTTAAACTTCTTAAATGCCATATTCTGCAGGTCTCTGAAGTATTTGAAGATCACCTATCTAAAATATATCTGTTTAACCTTGAAAACATACCTAATATAGCTACAAGTTTGATTATTATAGATAACTAACTACTAACCTACATTTCTTAATTGTATATTACATTTTTAGTGAGGTGCATAAGCACAACACCCCAAACAAGAGTAGAAACATACATACAATATTACAGAAAATAACTTTAAATTTTTATAAATACACCAAAATTCATACTATTATAAAATATTTGAGGTTAATAGTTGCTTTATTATCCTATATTCTTAAATGCCCCCTAAATGATGGCAAACATCCAAAACCCACCAAATGACCAAAAACCACTCACCCACCTCTCGGGAATGTGGGTATTTTGTTATCTAGCCTGTTTCCTATTGTCTGGAGGCAACTCTGAGAAAATTGAGACAATGATCAAGTTCTAGGAAAACTAGTTGTAACATTTGTTGTCCAGTTTCAGAACTGTTCCCTTGCACAGGGATCAGCATATACATTATCTGTCTTGTATTTTTTTTCTTGTTTTATTTCTTTATGTCTGTAGCCAAAATTTTCAGAATCTTTTCTCATCAAACATGGTCTCTATTAACTTTGAAGAAATCCACAACCTTTCATTTCCTAAGGAAACAGAAAGATAACCTCTTTCCCAATGCAATATATTTTCTAAATTCCATTTTAAAGTTAAGACATTCCTAAAGTGTCCAGGCTGGTTTGATTCAGCAGTCCTTTGTACAGCACAATATCTCTCAGCAGCTCTTGTTTGCTCATCGCTGTTCCAAAAAATTCAAAGTTAGCACAACACCATATGGGATCCAGATTCTCTATGTATTCCCATCTTTGTGTGGCTCTTTTCCACTTTATATTACTTTACTCTCTTTTTTAAGACTATTTTTTAAACTATTTTTAAACTATTTTTTACTATGACTGTCAATACTCCTTTTCTTTCTTAAGCCCCTATGTACATTTTTAAACACACTGTGACCTATTTAGAGGTTTTTTTTCATTCTGGACCTGCTTTACTGTGTACCTGTAGTGTTCTCTGAACGTGTAAACCAAACTTTAAACTCGCTGCACAACTTTGCACTGGTGCTGGATCCACCCTGCTTGGGTCTGTGAGAGCCAAACTTGATGCCCCATAGACCTGGCCAAGAGCTGAGTTTAATGAGGGGTTGCATTTAATCATCTTGATCAATTTAATTAGGAAGTTGGTGCCCACAATATGGCAAGCATTTTTACTTAGCTTGTTTCTGCTTAACGACATGCCAGCTGCTCAGGTGCTTGCTGTGTGGCAGAGCTTCACCTGTGTATGCTTATGAGCCAGGCTACTAGGAAACCACACTGTTTTTCTTTCCAGCTTTCTCGGGCCCTATGTAGAAATTTGTGCCCCATGTTGGGTACTATTTGTAGTTGGGATTTTCTTTGGGCCACCAAACAGCTTCCAAATAAAGACATGGAGACATTATTAATTATAAATGTTCAGTCTTCGCTTAGACTTGCTTCTATCTAGTTTTAACTTAAATTAACCCATTTCTAGTAAGCTATTGCTGCTCCAAGGCTTGTTTATGTCGTCTATGGACTGTTCATCCTGCTTTTTTGCTTCCTCTGTGTCTGGCTGACTGGACCCAGCTGGCTCCCCTTTTCTCTCTGCCTGCCAAGCCTGTCTATCCTTCCTTTGCCTAACTACTGGCCATTGAGCTTCTTATTAGACCTATCAGGTGACAATATAAAACAACAACACATCTTTACATAATTAAACAAATACAGCATAAACAAAAGCAACACATGTCTACATAGTTCAACAAATGCAACACATCTTTACAAGGTTCAACAAATACTCCATAACAAGTCACCACTGAATTCTCAGTTCCATCCATCTTTAGTATTAGTCGCACCCGTAAACAGTAAGTGAAAGGTGCCTGCCTTCCAGCTCTGTTTCCCGCTTCCCCGATTTCTGCTGAGATAATTCACCGCTGCTAACTCTGAAGAGAGGGTGCATCCAATTATGTTAATGTATTCATTCTCCTTTCATCGTTCATTAGAGTCCATCCACTTTTGAAATATTTATAAGAAATATTTAGTTTATTATAAGGGATATGTAATCATGTTTTAAGGACATGTTTTTCTAGATTAAAGTAATAAATGTAATATAGTATCTTAAATTTATTACATGAATTAATTCATGGCTGTGTATTTTAATTAAACAATTTGGGGATAAATTAAATCATATGCATTTAGAAAACTTTTAAAATGTTTAAAGTCAATATAATAGTGTTAATTTCACCTTACTTAATGAAAGATGAGGTTTAGCCTTGTGAAACATGCACAGTTTAAGCTGACATGGACAATCTTTAGTCTCCCTCTTCATAGGTAAACAGAATTTCTCAAAACACTTAGCCCGTAGTAAGACCCTGAACAGGCTGTTCCCTTTTTCCCTCCTGTGCCTGGGCAAATGTCTTCTGTCTGCTGTCACACTGGGACACCTTCCAGTTTCCTGGGTATAGATTTACTAATGGTCACCTACTTCCCACAGGAGACAAGTGTCTGTCAGACATGCCCTATGACAGTGCCAGTTATGAGAAGGATGGGATGATGACATCTCACGTGATGGACGAAGCCATCAACAACGCCATCACTTACCTGGGGGCTGAGTCCCTGCGCCCGCTGGTGCAGACACCTCCCGGAAGCTCCGAGGTGGTGCCCGTCATCAACTCCATGTACCAGCTGCACAAGCCCCCCGCAGACGGCCCCCCACGGCCCAACCACTCGGCGCAGGATAGCGCCGTGGAGAACTTGCTGCTGCTGTCCAAGGCCAAGTCTGTGTCATCGGAGCGGGAGGCCTCCCCGAGCAACAGCTGCCAAGACTCCACGGACACCGAGAGCAACGCTGAGGAGCAGCGCAGTGGCCTCATCTACCTGACCAACCACATCACCCCGCATGTGCGCAACGGGCTGGCCCTCAAGGAGGAGCAGCGAGGCTATGAGGTGCTGAGGGCGGCCTCAGAGAACTCGCAGGATGCCTTCCGCGTGGTCAGCATGAGTGGCGAGCAGCTGAAGGTGTACAAGTGCGAACACTGCCGCGTGCTCTTCCTGGATCACGTCATGTACACCATCCACATGGGCTGCCATGGCTTCCGGGATCCTTTTGAGTGTAACATGTGTGGTTATCACAGCCAGGACAGGTACGAGTTCTCATCCCATATCACACGGGGGGAGCATCGCTACCACCTGAACTAAACCGGGCCAGGCCCCACAGAAGCACAAAGATAGCTGCCTATGCCTCCCTCCTGGCAGCTGGACTCACAGCGGACAATGTTGGGTGTGGATTTGCAGGCAGCATTTGTACCTTTAAGTTGGTTGATTGGGATTTGATTTGTGTTAGAAGACAAGTTTTTAATGTTAGAGACAGGATTGCATTGCATCGGGAGCATTCAGACCATCCACCCTTCTAGACACGGTTTTGTTGACTGCCAGCTGAGATTTCCCTTGACCAGTGGCTTTCTGACCCAAACCACCACCACCCAACAGAGCCTGAATTTTCAGAGAATTGAATAAGAGAATTATCCAAGAAGGAGCAAAGAGAACCTTTCCCTAAGCAAAGTTTGTGCCCCCATGGATTCTCCAAATCTCCCCAAAACATCATAGTCACTGGGGTGGGGCCATCTCAGGGAGCTCCACAGGTGAGCCCCAAGACCAGATAGATCAAAGGCAGCTGGGGAGGAGCAAGGACAGAGCCTGTGTGGAGACCAGGGCAGAAGGCTGATCTTTTAAAGATGCTACTAAGTCACATAATGAATGGGAACATGGCATCTGGACAAGTGTCATCTGGGCAAGAAGGGAAGGGGATTGGAGAGCCTTGTAGACTCCTCTTCATTGGCCAGATCACACCCAGCCTCTGGGGGCTTGTCGCCCAGTGAGATGAGCTCAGCACTCCTGTGGGCATTTTTGGGGTAGCCCTCTTCCCAAACCTCATCACTGCATTTTAGACCCCAGTCCCGAAACTGAGACCTTCCTTTAAACTTCTCACACTGTAAGATCCCTCCGAAGCCAAAGCTTTCTTCTAAGCCCCATGCTCAGTTGTCTGGGTTCTGTTCTTCCCTGAACTGTCTGGGAAGTCCAACCCCATCACTTCATTCCAGCTGAATCCCTGTTCTGATGATAGCCATGGACCTGGCTGTCTCAGTCTGGCAACCATCTTGTCCTGCTCACACTGTGTGTTATTTTTGTTTGAAAGCCTATAAAACCATTATTCAGAATGACCATTTGTAGGAAATATATGAGCCCGGCATCTCAGTGGCTGAAGCACAGAATATTCTTGCTGTTAAACAAAAATTCTAGATGGTCTGAAACTCTTCAGCATTAACACCAGATACCACGTGTTTTCACATAAACAGGACAGGAACCATGCATCCTTGACCAGGTAAAGGTATTAGGACATTGGAATGTCTGGGGCCACTGTGTGACCAGTTCGGGTTCCCAGAGAGAAATGCCCATCAGATATCACAGAAAAGAGGCAGGTAAGGTGGTAGAGGTGAGATCTGGTCCAGCCAAACCAAGACAGGGATGCCACACTGAAACCAAGTTAGGTAGCTGGAGGTTCTCAACAGGACAGGCCTCTCTCAAGAGTCAGTATTAAAGTCATGACGCTCCACCACCTCAATGAAGCTCTCTGAGGGGATTCCAAAGAACTGGAAGGGAGATTGTCTATAGCAGCACTTGGGTTAAAGCAAGCATTCTTAGTCAGAGCCCTCCTGATGCAGGGGGCTTGTCATTGCTGGTGGAGACTGTTCTATGAATTGTAGCTTACCTAGCAGGATCCCTCGTCACTGTCCAGTAGATACCAGTAGCATCCTAGCTGATACCCAAACCTGTCTCCCAGGTGTTCCCTGGGGGCACACCCACTGATCTAAATTCTAAGCTGGTGGAAAGTGTGGGAAAGTTTCCACAATAAGAAGCACCTGAAGCCTTTCCCAGTCAGCAGCCTCCAGCTGCACTCTTTCTTTGGGAAGTGGATAAATTCCGTATGCGCATTTGAGAATACACTTCCTCAACTGCTTCTGAGTTCAGTTGCAGGAATGAAGTTCGCGGGCGTAGCACTCTTAAGTGTGGATTCCTCTGCTTCCAGAACAATGTGGCATTTTGAAAGTAAAAATAAAATTGCGACTATAATGATTTACAGTAAGAATTTGAGGAACCAGAGCTGTGAGCAACTTTTGTTCAATATGCAGTTATGGAGAAAGGCTGGCCTTACCCAAATTCATATATTCCAGTGACAGTCTTCCAAGCCTCCAGTTTGTTGGCAGCTCCTGTTCACTATTGTCCTTATCCAGGAGAGCCTCAGGGTCAGCTGGTCCAAGGGAGATGGCTCCAACCCTCACCCCTACCCCTGCCACTGGCATTCAGAAATTAAAGAAGAATTGTAAATAGTGGCTTCAGGAGCTCTTTTCTAGAATGCTTCACCCCTTGCTCTCACTGCCTTTTTTTTTTTTAGATGATATGTCTATTTGCACACCTTTTGTTGTGGTTTTATATTGTAACAGCATTTTTTGAAACTATTGTATTTAAGATAAGGTTTCATATTATGTCCACAAGTAATTAAATTATGTTTGAAGGTGGCTATATTCTGTATCAAACGTTGATGATGTTTTTCTTTAGTTGGTAAAGTAGGGTTTTGCATGACCTCACTTTTTGTTCTGTGGTTTGTTCTGCTGTATGATGTATACCTTCGGTATCGCTGTGTGATGAAGTGTGCCAAGATTCCACGCCCTCGTGTTGTCTTTTAAGAGTAGCTGCCAGAGGCAGGAGGGTTCCTAAGAGCAGGCTGACTTGTTAGTGACAGCTAAGTCACCATTTCTCATTCCATCTCCTCCCTGTTACCGCAGCTTCCTGTCCCAGATCCCTTCTGTGCTCCATACCTTAGTGTGTGTGTGTCCTGACGAGAGTCAGGAGCATTGCTGTGTTACCATTGCATTGTCCCGGCACCACTGGCTTCAGATACCAGCACGTTCTGTTTCCGGTTTAGAATCGACCACATAATAAAATGTTAGAGCCTTTATTGAGAAGCAGAGGCACTCATCATGGAGATGGGGGCTTTGTTTTATGTCTGTGTCTTAGTTTGTGCTCTTTTCTTCTTTTGTTTGTTCTTGAGTGCGTTGTGACTCTTGTAACATCATCTTGCCAAAAACAAACTTGAGATGAACTGGGTTTATATAGACATATCATGATGTATCATCTATTCCTCTCTTCTTCAGTTCCAGCAATAAGAATGGATACACTCTAAATCCCAGATCTCCCACATTTAACATCCATGTTTTTCTATGTTTGCTTGTTTGTTTGCTTACCTTAAAGTGAGCCACAATTAGACTTGAGATGTACGGGCATCAACAAGCAAGAAGCACACGCACATCTGGTGCTACAGCACTCACCGTGAATAAGTGTGACCAGATATTAATATGCAATATTGTTTCAAGTCCTTTCTAATACACTTTTTTACAATGTTGTGTGTGGTGGTTGTTGAGGTCAAATCTCTGTGTGTCGCTGCAGCCGCAGCTCTTCACTCCCGACTGGCAGGGGCATGCAGAGGACTGGAAGTGAGACAATGGGACCACCTCTGCAGCCCTGGCCCCACTGTGATGGTAGACGACCTCTGTCTAGCTGAGAACAAGCGATTTCCACTGGAGGCGTAGAGTATCCTTTTGTACGCATTTCGTGTTTTTTTTCTGTAGTGAGAGAACAAATAAATTCTACAAACACTCTGTGTGCCCCATCCAGTGAAGTCCACACAAGCTTAAAAGAAGCCCCGCCCTTAGAGTAGTCTGCTGTAGTCTCTCAGAGACGAGAAGGTAAGGAACGCAGGCCCGGAGAAGAGAAGTGTGAGCGGCGGATGCACAGGAGGAGGCACAGCCATTTAGCCCTTCCCAGTATTCTGGAGGTAGAGGCAGGGGGATCAGAAGTTGAAGGTGTTCTTTGGTTCCGTAGGGAGTTCCAGGGTAGTCTTTGATACCTGACACACCCGGTTTCATAAAAAGAAACACACACACACACACACACACACACACACACACACACACTGGCTGTTTCTGAATGTTACCTTTTGCCATGGCTTCAACTAAGACACAGATCTGGGAGAAAAAGAGGTAGAGCATTGAGCAATTAGTGAGGCTCAGAGGAAGTTCTCAGACAACCAAAGTGGGAACTCCATGTTCCTCCATCATTCTGGAAACTCCTGGCTCCTCCTCTGCCCCAGAACCTAAAGCAGCAACCAGCCCGGCACAAACCCCATGCAGAGGTGGGGTCAGATGTTGCTGTTGCTTCACCACACCCTCCTTTTCCCAGGCCACTCCCCTCCACCAAGCACATGGAACCAAAAGGGTTCCACCAAGCACACGGAACCACCTCTCACGGAACCAAAAGGGATTCGGTGGCCCCTAGAACAGCACTGCCTCTGGCAGTCCTGGATTCTCTATTCCACCAGTAACCTTCATCTCTTTGCAAACCTGTTCTGGGATTAGCACACAAGAGGCCCAGCTCCTAATTCATCAACAACAGCCCATTAGGTGTCAAGACTCCTTTGTGTCCCAGAACTGGTCTCTCAGAAGCATCTCAGACTCCACCCTGCCCTACACATATAGTTTGTCTATAGCTTCGAGGGTCACTTACTGAGCATTCTGGAGCTGAAGGTATCATGGGACAACCCTACATCCCCAGCCATGAGGCATGGGGACAGCCCTCCAGCATGCTAAGCAGATAACCAGTCAATCCTAGTTCACTGAGGACCGGTTATAATATAGCCTTGACTCTTCTGATTCTGGATTCCCAGTTGTCTGGATAAAGGAGCAAAGTCTCCCCACATGGGTCTGAAACAGCTTAGACACAGACAGAAGAATCGGGTAAGAAATCAAAATGTCCATTCTGCTACTCAGAAAAGCCAGGCTTCAAAGTGTGACCACCCTGCAAGAGGGGGGATGCCCCGCAAGATGCCAGGATGGGAGGCTCACGTGGCCAACCCTCAGCACCTAATCAGTTCCCTAGGGAGAGCTTTGCCATTCTGCCTGTCTCTACAGAGACAGAAGGCCTCATGCCAGCTATCATGGGTTTCCCAAGCCAGTTTAGGTAGAACAATTTGGTCTCCATCACTGCCTTCCTGCCTCCTGAGTCTCCTTACTGCAGTCCCGCCTTTATGGGGTTCCAAAGTGATTTGTGAAAATGGGGACCTGACCAAGTTAAGGCCCTACCCACAGATCTGCAGGGATTCCACTGAAGTTTCAAAGCGGAGAGCAGTTTCCTCAGCTAGGAACATGAGGTGGGCTTTTCCTTAGAGGGCATTTCGCTGGGCATGCCCCCAAGAGTATGGTCTGGTCGTTAAGAACAGAATGGATTCTGGGGAAAACCAAGCCTATGTTTGAATTAGGTTAAAGGTGTGTGACAGTGGACACAGGGGCTAAATGTCCTGAGGCCCCTTTCCTCGTCACTGAAGCCTGAAGGGTTGTAAAGTTAAAATCATTAAATTTGACAAAATTTAAGAAATGGGCTGGGTCATTCAAAAACTCCTGCTTTGTCTGACGTGTGTATACACTGTCCCCTCCCTCTTATTTATTCCATCTCCATGACAACCAGGCAAGCCAACAGTCCACTTGTATCCCCAGAGACCAGATAGCTGTAGTCAGGAAGCAGCAGGCCTCTCCTCACATGTAACCAGCCACACTGATGAGTTCTCCTTACCCAAGTCCTCACAATTGCCCTGGGAGGTGTGGGCCACGCCCCATTGGACAAATGAAAGACAGCATAGCAGTGCTCACCTGGGAGTCCAAGTCTTACAGGAAGGTGGTGCTGGGCAGAGGCAGAAAGGGCTGTAGGCCCTGACCCAGACCCCTTCTCCACCTGGCTCCTGTTTCATTCTGGAGTGTTCCTTTTAAGGAAAAGTGGATAAAGTCTGATGCTCTTCAGAGTCTCTTCCAGAGAGGGAGGAAAATACCTACATCTAGAAACCTGCCTTCAAAGCAGCCCTCAGCCTGGTGCTCACCATATTTGCCCACAGGTTGCATCTGACATCAGTTTCTCAGTCTTGCCCTTACTGAGAGTCACTATCCCTGAGACTTTGCCCAGAGTGGCATAGGGCCGGCACACTGACCTACAGAGCCAAGAGGAAAAGAGAAAGTGGGTAGAGCCAGAAGTGGGGAGCCAGGTCTTGCTTAATTAAGACAGCTGTGGAACATCTGTCGGTGCCAACGCACAGCGGGTATATCTGGGCATCACTGTCCTCTCAGACTGCCATGGAAGTTGTGAGCAGTACCTGGGCTGTTCCTATGGAGTAGGAAACTGCTCTGGGTCAGGGTAGAGGAACAGAAAGAGCAGGCAAAGGAAATGAAAATGGCCCATGATGGAAGGAAAGCCAGTTGAGCAGGCATCCCCAGTTTTCATCTTAAAAAAAAAAAGAGAGAGAGACCGAATTACAAATCTGAGGAAGACCAAATGAGGAGCACAGCTGAGGAAGGCCTCCAAGCCAGGTGCTAGGATGCTCCAGAGGGTACCAGGTGCTAGGATGCTCCAGAGGGTACCAGGTGCTAGGATGCTCCAGAGGGTACCAGGTGCTAGGATGCTCCAGAGGGTACCAGGTGCTAGGATGCTCCAGAGGGTACCAGGTGCTAGGATGCTCCAGAGGGTACCAGGTGCTAGGATGCTCCAGAGGATACCAGGTATTAGGATGCTCCAGAGGATACCAGGTATTAGGATGCTCCAGAGGATGCCAAGCAGAGAGTGTGTAGGGAGAGAGCATGTGGGCAGAGGTAGGCTCTGACCTCAGGAAGGCACCTAACAAAGACCAGGGCTTCAGCAACATGGTGCCAAATCTCAGCTGGTGCCAAGTTCTTGACCAGATTGTCCAAAAAAGAAAGGAGAGCCTTCCTGGATGTCTCCTGGCTTTTCCCACTTTCTGACAAGGCCAAGATCAGGAGCAAAGTGGACATCCTTGACCTCTGACCCTGTCTCCAATGACTACAGACCCTGCCTGTGTCTGGGGAGAGAGCTGCTTATATCAGGATGCTTCAAGCTCCACCTCAAAGAACAAGTCCGGTGGGTCCGTGTAAAGCCATGAGTCCTTGGCCCATGCTCCCTTTAGCAGCAGACACTTGGCCAAGGACAGAGCAGATGGGCCCTGGAGACTCAGTGAGTCGGCACCAAGGGAAGCAGATGTGCCTACCATGGTCCCCAGACACAACCAGGAACCAGCCACAAGGGGAGGAAATTTGCATAATAGGGATAATTTGGTACCAAAACTGTCCCCTGAAGTAAACTGCATGGATCTCAGTATAGTTCACAATTTTCACTTCTTCTTTCCCATGTTTTCTCAGACTAACTAGATGTGAGGTAGAGTGTGTGACTCGTCCAAAGGTTTAAGGGTGTTTTTTTATCTTCACCATTGTCTCCCTTCATGAGTTGGTACCAAACCTTTTCTCTCTCTACTCTGTCACTCCCTTGTGCCCAAGGTGAGCTTTTGACACCCCCGCAGAGGCCTCTCCCATGCGTATGCCAAGTGAGGACAGCCTTGGGCACAACCATGTGATATTCCAGACTCACAAGGAGCATTACTGGTCATTTGTCTCTTTGCTGGTATACTTGGCCAATGGGATCTCACTCTACTGCTTCCCTAGAGCCTACTTGAGCTTCCTCATCGACCTAATCCCTGTGGCTTTCTGTGGGCAGAGGGCATGTGGTTTCAGGGCTCCCCACTTTCATTCCCCTTTCAGGCCCCCTCCTTTCATGGTAACACCCTCGTCCCCACCCACAGATGGGGTACAGCCTTTCTCTAGCCCTTCCAGGGACTCCCTGCTGCCCCCATAAGTTCCCACTTCTGCAAGCATCATGAGGTATTTTTTTTAATATTCATTTTTATAACACCTCACAGGAAGGCGGTTGTGCATTTATATCCACTGACACTGTCAGCAAGTTTTGAGGTGACAAATACTCTAAAATAAAGCATTTATAGATCTGCACAGGTGCTAGCCAAAGGAAAGACTCGCCTGAGACAAATTGCCTAAGTCACCAGCAAGATGACCAGATGGCGTTAAAACTGTCCCCACCACATACACACCCTTAAGCAGCCAGTGTTTTATATCAAAATTTGGAAGAGAAAAACCATAAACATACACTCTCTGCAGATGGTAAGGACAGGCAAGCAGAGCCTGGGACAGGAAGTCAGGCCCAGAGAGCTTCTGCCTCTTCCTGGTTGGTTGATTCCAAAAGCAGAATGTGTAGTGACCTTCAGCCCCACACTAAAATGGAAGCCTTTTTTCTTGTAGCTGCTGCTGACTTAGCTTGTGACTATGAATGCAAATGAGTTAAAATAGGCTTCTTGTCTTCCCTCAATTTTTTAAAAATTTAGTTTAATTTAAAATATCAGGGATACAAAAATAAAGCAGACTTTCTTATGTGTTCAGCCTCATGATCTCAGGGACTATAATGGGCAGGTGGCTCTTCTTCAGGAAAGACTCCTTCTCTCCCATGTGACAGTCCTCTTCCCAACCCATCCCTTCTAAACCACCTAAGTCCCACACAATCTCACTACAAGAGCCCTGCTTGCCCCCAGAGTCTTCTACTGCACTGGCTGCTACAACAGAATTCACAGCCCCTGGTACTTGGAGCATCCCCAAGACCCAGTCTATTTCTTTTTATTTGGGCATTCCTGGTCCTGGGCATTAAGTCCTGGACTCTCCCCATCAGGCTGTGAGGTTAGAGAGAGGGAGCTGAGGGGGTTCCA